AAACTCAGTTAAGCGGCGCGGGGTGCTGCTAAAACTCAGTTAAGCGGTGCGGGGTGCTGCTAAAACTGAGTTAAGCGGCGCGGGGTGCTTGTTAACCTATAAAATCATAGGTTTGGCGGAAATTCGACCTAAAAAATCATGTTTGGCGGAAAGTCGGCGCTTCTTAACCTATGATTGGCGGAAATTCGGACAAGCCCCCGGCCCTGTCCCCACACTGTCACACTGGAACGCAACAGCAGCACAAGTCAGTGCATTCAAGCCTGAAAAAAACTCCGAGCAAAGCAGCTGCAACAGCTGCGCTGGCTGGCTTCAACGCCGCTTGAGCCAAGCTGCAGCCCGCTGCCGTCGACTGTCGCTCGCGCCTCCAGGCCTGTCCTGTACGGAGTCACGGCTGCGGTTTGGGAAAGCAGCGCGGCTGGAAGGTCCTGTTGAGCCGGTTGCCCTTGCGCCATAATCTCGCAGGATGTCGCGGACAGCAGCGTTGGCCATATCGAAGGCGTTCCTTCTTGTTGTCGTATGCACCTCATGTGGGTCAGCTCTCATTGCTGCCTGCAGCTCTCAACAGGGGGGTTGCTCCACGCGTGTCCCTGGCTGTGAGGTCTGCTTTCAGCTCCACCATCTGCCGGATGAGGTTGCACCGCAATCGCGCATCTCCTCCACCTGTGCCGCAAGCCATGTGAAGGGCTGTGCAGCCATCTGGCCTGAATGGGGGCACTGCTCTCTGGCTGACCTGGCCTTGCTTCTGGCCTTGCTTCTTTGCTGCTTTGGCCATCCTGGCCAACTGCAAGAACGCAGCGGAGCGCCTGTGGCTTGGCACTGCTTGCGCGCGCTCAACAGCTCGGCTTCCATGGCAAGCAGGTCGTCTTCACAAGACATTCCCTGAGCCCCTGGAATGCACTGGTCCTTTTTCAACGAGCTGCTCGTGGCTGGCAGCCGCACTGAGAGCCAAAAAATCATGGGAAGCAAACATGTAATGTGAATCAGTGAGTCACATCGCTGACTCTTGAGCGTTTTTTGTATGAGCTTGCTGACTGGGGCTTGCATATTGAAGAAAACCATTGCACGCAAGAGCGCGCTCCGCTGCCGGAGCGCGCTCTTGTGCGCAATGGTTTTCTATCGTTTGCTGACCGGGGCGCGTGTTACTAACAAAAGCATTAATTGCGCGCAAGGCGGCGCTCTTGTGTGCATTCTTTAGAAGTGGACATAGAACATCATAGCGCACAAAAGCGCGCTCCGGCAGCGGAGCGCGCTCTTGTGTGCAATGGTGTTCTGTGAGATTCATGACAGGGGTCTGCAATGGTGTTCTATGAGGTTCATGACGGGGTGTGCGTTCTCTTGCGCGCAACAATGGTTCTCTATGAGATCGCTGAGTGGGGTGTACGTTTCTCAGAAAACCATTGCGCGCAAGAGCGCGCTTCGGGAGCGCGCGCTTGTGTGCTATGGTGTTCTATGAGATTCGTGACAGGGGCGTCCACTTCTAAGGAAACCATTGCAAGAGCGCGCTCCGCTGCCGGAGCATGCTCTTGTGCGCAATGTTCCAGGTCCATGAGATTCATGACGGGGGTCTGCATTTCTAAGGAAATCATTGCGCGCAAGAGCGCGCTCCGGCAGCGGAGCGCGCTCTTACGTGCGCAATGGTTTCACAGAGATGCGCGCCCCGGTCAGTATAATCTCATGGACGCATAGGACACATTGCACACAAGTGCGCGGAAACGTATAGACTCCGTCAGCGATCTCATGGAAAAAACCATTGCGCGCAAGAGCGCGCTCCACTGCGCAATGGTTTCCTTAGAAATGCACACCCTGTCACAAGAGCGCGCTCCGGTAGAGGAGCGCGTGACGTGGCTCAGTGAGCTCAACAGCGTGAAGCACGAATGAAGCTTCTTTTTCTCGACGCAGCATTCATTGTCATTGCTGGTGCTCTGGTGGCATCCTCATCTCGCTGGCAGAAGGAGAGCACACAGACCACATATGGCTCGGCTCATCCTTCAGCAGCAGCTGCAAGAGCTCCGCGTTGGCTGCCTTCTCGCGCTGCAGCTGACTGGCCAGCTCGCTCAGCTGACTCTCAGTGCCATTGGCGTCGGTCTGCGCTTCACTGTCTACCATCACCTTGGACAGTTTCCTACAGGCCATGAGCGCTGACTGCTTGCCATTGATGCGCAGGAGTGGCTTGATCGGCGGCAGGCGCCCAACCACAAAGCGATGATAGCGCAGGGCAACGTCGCGCAATGTTTTTCTACGTTGTGACCTTTTTTGGTTGCGCGCTGCCCAGCCGCTTTTGCCCGAAGGTCTTTTCTTTTGGTATTTGGGCGGCGTGAGCTGGCTGTCAGCCGGATTCAGCAGCCATACAAAACTAGACGATACTACGCTTGAGGCTGAGGCTGCTGAAGATCGACTTGCCCTGCGCGCGCTCCATGCCCTGAGCGCGCTCAACAAGTTCAACACTCAGTCAGAAGCCTTACATCTTACAGGTTCAAGCGGCTCAAGATCTGTTTGGTTGCTTGGCCTCGAAAGTGAAAACCGGAGCGCGTGCCCATGCAGGATACCTTTTGGTTTCGGGTTGCAATTCTCTTCGAGGTGGCTGGCTGTCAGCAGCACAGAGCACGCGGGTCTTTGCCGCGACGGAATCTGGAAAAGAGCTGGATTCTGCCTGACAGCCGGAATGCCTGTAAGGCTCTTGCTAGTCAGGCCACTTTTGCCTAAAGCACCCTGATTCGAACAATGCTTCGGAAGGACCCAATAAAAACACCCATCGCGGTCATCCGACTCGTCATCTTGTCCTGGCGCTGTTGGGGGCGAAGCCGGAGGTGGAGCCAACAAACGCATCTTGCCTTGGCGAAAGAGAAGCTGCCCATCATCCAGCGCGACCAGCCACTCCACAAATCTGCTGGTCTGATGGTGTTCCACTTGAAGAGCCATGTGTTCGGCAGGCGTGCCATGCGTTCAGTGGGTGCGCCGAGATGAGAAAAAGAGGCTAGATGGCAAATTTTACAATGCAAGTACAAACGTTCCACTTCTGGCTGGCAGCCGGACGCTGCCTGCGCAATGTCTGGTTTGGCGAAAAATAGGAAATGAGCAATTTCGGAAGGTATGAAAACCTGTACTTTTTACATCGTTTATCGGAAACTCCGAAATGAACTATTTCTGAATTGCTATATCGTGTTAATTTCCGAATTTCTGAAAAATTATACTTTTTTACATAGTTTGGTGGAAATTCGGAAACTAACAATTTCCGAATTTCTGAAAAAATCCTTTTTTACATCGTTTGGCGGAAATTCGGAAATTAACAATTTCCGAATTTCTGAAAAAACTTTACTTTTATGTATAGTTTGGCGGAAACTTGGAAATTAACAGTTTCCGAATTTCTGAAAAACTTTACTTTTTTACATCGTTTGGCGCAAATTCGGAAATTAACAATTTCCGAATTTCTGAAAAACTTTACTTTTATGTATAGTTTGGCGGAAATTCGGAAATTAACAATTTCCGAATTTCTGAAAAGCTTTACTTTTTTACCTAGTTTGGCGGAAATTCGGAAATTAACAATTTCTGAATTACTGAAAAACGTTACTTCTTTACGTAAATTCAGAAATTAACAATTTCTGAATTTCTGAAATTCTTCAACTTGGTGTTTCTTAACTCGGCTTGGTGTCTCTTAAACTTGGGATTTCTGACGGCCGGGATTTCTGACGTGTGATTGTTGGGGTCTACAGAGATCTAGGGTTTGTAGGGTCTTGGATTCGCCTAACCCATATTATAAGACCTCCAGAACCAAGTTCTTGACAATTCATCCGATACAATGGCCCAAATCAGCCCAACCTGTTGGTTGGCCCAAATGTTTACAAGTCACCACGCCCAAACGTGTCGTCGATGTCTCATTCCGCCGGACTGCCCACCTTGATGTGAGTTCAGATTCTTCAGGGTCGTGGACGCCTCAGATAAAACCACCAGAATGCCTGGGGCCTTGGGGAAAGAACCATGGTGAGGAAGTCTGAACCTTCTTCTGGGGCCTTGATCATCTCAGGTCGAAGGGAAAAGAACTGAACAATCAAATGGCAAAGACATGGTGAAGAACCATGTCTTTTCACCAGAACTGTGTGTCGAGCTATCTGTTTGTATCCCAAACTGTGGTTTGACAGTTTGATTGACTTCTTGGCAAACCTTGCACCTGTCAGCAACAAACACCAACACTGCAATGCGACTCTAGCTGATTCTTGGCAGGGGGAAGGAATCCAAAATCCTGTCTGTTCCAAAGTACTTGATGCCAACCAAAGGCCCGCAAACTCTATGAGCGAGCCCCTTAAACCCACATTCCCAGCCGAGGCACAGTCAGAAGTCGACCTCATCCCTCATTCATCCCTCATGGTCCCTCCATGCCGTCGAAGAAGTCAAAAATGGTCATCCCTTCCGCCGCAAACCGTGGAGCCTCCGGAGAGGCTCAACACATCCGACGAGAACGACGAGGAGATCCAGATCACCCGACCGCGGTGTTTTGATGCGAGAGAACCGCGGTGTTGTGCGTCCCTCCCACATGGAGCGACTCTTTTTCAATCTCTGTGTCTGTGAGCTCTACCAACGCTGCATCCGTTTTCAGTTGAGACCAATAGATTTTCCAGAAATCTCCTGGAGGGGCACGGCTTGCTTCGCCTGCACGGCTCCCAAGTGTGTTTCGCAATGCCCCTGTTCTTGGTGTATCCACGGTTTTTTGAGCATCAACGATGTGAACGGAACCAAAAAAGGTTCCCGCAATTTTCTATGGCACCCAGTACCCCCTTTGTTTTGAGCCATATCATTGCATGTCCCTTGCTTCCGCATGGTGGTCCGAACCAGCTGCCTGCGCAGAGGCAGTAGAGGGCTGCTGGTCCTGAACACGGCTCGTTATCCCACCGGCAGACTTGAGGTCTCTTCTGTTTGAGGGACACATGAAAGAAGTGAGACGCAAAATGTCATGCAATAATTACAAAAATTAAGACATCAAACGTCCCAGCATGCGTGACGCCAGCTCAGCGCTCCCCATGTTCGTAACATGGGGAAAAGTATGCTTCGGTAGGAACCAAGGCACAGGTGAGTTGGAGACCTGCATGCCTTTCTCATTGTTTCTTTCAATTATTCCAGCAAAGGTAACCTACATTGAGTCCTTTGCATCCAAAAACATCAGAGTCTGCAATGAAATTCAAAGACCCCTCCTCTGTATCAGTTTGATAATTGCAACTGTCTGTCTGGCGTGTTTCCGGCTTTGCAGATTCGCGGGTCGAATTCCGGATCTGAAAGAAAAGGGAAGCCCCCACGGCAAGCTGCAGACATGTCTTTTTTCCTCACACGCCGGAACGGTCAATCAAGTTCCCGTTTTCCACATAGCGCACCAGACCTGCAACTTCTTAGTTCAGGAACATTTTGGGAGGAGCACAGGGGCAAAAGGTTGTGTCTCAGTGATAAACTGATACATTTGCAGTGAATGCTTTGGAGGAATCTATGCCTCCTAGGACTCACAGGTGATGGTATGGTTTATGATGTTTCTAGATCCCAGATAACTAATTACGTGCACGTGACATGGTGAGTCGAAGTGTTGTTCATTCACTTCAAATGTTTGTTCAAGTGGGCTACTAGAAGATGCCAGTTGTCAACTGACGGTGAGTTTGACATGAACTTATTCCTGTTTCAGTCGATTATTTGGGCATATTTTTGACATGTGGTTATAGTGTGTCCAAACCCTCTCACCAAAGTCCCAAAGTGATGATGTGAATGGGAAACATCGTGAAACTACTGGAGTTGTGGCGTGCTTTCCAACGAAAACAGTGAAGCAGGGTACGTTTTGTGGGAGGTTGGAATCCTTTACAGTGTAATCAAGTTGGATCGTTTCATTGTTTCTAGGTGAACACTATCCTGAACCACCAGATCTCGTCTGCTAAGTGGGGTCGGTCACAGACACCATCACGACTTCACCCAGCAACTTTGAAATTGCTTTATATAACCAACTGCAACATCTCAGACTAACTTTGAAACGTCCCGATTTCCGATTGAGTGACATACATCAAATCACTGTGATTCACGCTGTTCAGCTTGCACAATCCACATAGGTTGCCATGTGGACTTTCCAAACTCCCTGAGCTCTACAATCCCCTCCGCTCTGCCTCTTCGCACCCGGTCATGTTCTGTGGACCGGCACCCAGTGACCCGTCGATAGCAGCACCAGGCCACCAGCATGGAAAAGGCGAAGAAACTCACAGCAGCCTCGGAGAAAACATGTGAAAACCACCACGGCCTTTCTCAAGTGGTAAAGGTGGTGAAACCTGAAGTAACTGACATTTGACATGGATGCTGGATCCGTCTGTGAAGACATGGACATGTACGGAGCATCTATCTATATAAATATATGGCATGGAGATGCCTATCGAATACTTTCTGGGGATTTGATTAATTAATTATGTGGCAGGCATTATTCATTAATGGGGATTGGTTCAGGAATAATTGTGAGATGTTATGAAATTGCAGGTGTGGATGATTCTTTCTGTGAAGGCTATGATGTGTGAACACCATGATCCTTGATCGAATTACATAACATCCTCTTCACAAGCGGCGTGCTACATGGCGTGCCACATGGCGTGCATGTTACAAACAATCCTTCTAAAACAAAAGAGAATTCCGATGTCCGATGTACCTCCGCTAATCATTGGGTTGGTGAAGGTATGTTAATGTACTGTCTATCACTAGCATTCCTCAAGTCCTCTACCTTGGGATCCACCCCCTTAACCCCCAAAAAACTGGCCTCCTGTGGCCGCTGCAGCCGGGTCACAATTCCTAGCATCTCAAAGTGATTGTTCAAAGTCTCTACACCTTGCCAGAATCCATGATCGCCCAGACCAGGCATGCCCAGCGCGGCTGGCAAACCCAGCAATTCCAGAGAGCCCACAGAAAGAGCGATAACACCTGCGGTCAAAAACCCGATACTAGGGATCTCTTTCTTGTTCTGGGGATGAAATTTCTAGGAGATTGAAGCTGGCTGTGGTTTTACCGTACAAGCATTCAGCGAAATGAAATGGGCAGAATACTATCAATATCCAAGTTATTTCAGGTGGAGAAAACACACGCGACAAAACCAGTTCTTGGATTCGAGTTGACAGTGACGGAGAGTCTATGTTGCTGTAGGTTGTTGTTGAATTGGACAAGAAAAAAAACACAGAGGCTGACCTGACGTGGACGTCAGGAAGAAGTTGAAGTAGGTCTTCTGCATGTCGTCCTTCCGGAATCGATGCGAGGGGATTCACTCAATCAGGTTTGCTCCGTTCGTAGCGTCCGATCGCTCCGTTCGTAGTAAGGCCAGGAGCCCCTAGAAGCGAACCTTGTTACTACTAGTAAGGCACTTGTTACTAGAAGCGATGCACTTGTTTCTAATAGCTTCTCATCTGCATTGTGTCTAACAACTGTCGAGGTACCCTTCAAGCCTGCCTGGAATGTTTAGTATTTGGGACTCAGACCCGTGATGCCGTGATGAACCATTTACCAGCAAGTGTTGCTTTTTTTGAGTCATAAGTTGCCTTCAGCCAATACATATCTTCACAAAGCTCCACTGAAGCATGGCTCAGTCAAGAAACCTTCACTTTGCCAACCTTGGGAGTCAAGAATGTACAACAGAATAGCACCGTTGAATCATAATATGAGAGTCCTTGTCTCAAATTCTCAGGGACATATGATGCAACAACGTGAGCATGTGTCTCTATGCCTGCTTTTCGGCCCTGCATCTGTAAATTTAATCAAAATCTCTACGAGCCACAATCATGCGCCCCCTGTGGCAGCCAATAGCTTTACTAGAATTCTACACAAACAGGAAAACAGTTGGTAACAAACCTGTAAACAAATGATTGCAACCCTTTCCTTAAAGATCCTACAGGAGATCACAGTGGAATTCCGGAGGAGTTTCCACCCCAAAGTAGATTTGTAGTAGTATAGTAGTATACTCTAGTTTGGGATGGCAACTCCTCCGCCAGAATTCCATTGGGGAAAACGCTATCTCACTAGATTCTGCAAAGAAGCTGTTACCAAGCTTTCTTCTTGCATCTTCCTGCTAAAGTAGTTAAATATAGTTATATAAATCTATATAACTCGTATAACTTCTCAATGATAGCAAAGAGCATCAACCGTCAACTGTGATACTTCCTGGATTTGGCTCCTCGAGAGACGTCTGGTAGACCCAGGACATGAAGAAGCCGTTCAGCGTGTCCAGGAGACACATGCCCGACATAAACAGTAAAGGAAGCCTCACACACACACACAAAATAAACGAATAACAAACACAAGTTCAAGAGGAATAGCCTTTAGAGCGGATTGTCTGGGAGTTCAATTAGATTTGCTCTCCTGCGGACTTGGTATACTACTCTTGGAGGCCATGGAGGCCATCTCGACCAATGGAGGTCAAGTTGAAAAAAACACAGGTAGCCAAAGGACGGCAAACGGTCTCTCGACGGATTCTCAACGGTCTCAAGATCAACATCTGGGTATCTCTCCAAAGAAATGCTAAGTTGGGATGCTCAAAGCTCAAATTTTGAAAGCCTGAACACCAGCGAGGCACAACAAGATGGTGACTGCCGGCGCTTTCAAGTGCGAGACAGCCACAATACCCAGAAGCCCTACTTCTGTCGAAGTGTCGAAGCCCAGGCCAAAGAGAAAGCCCACCAGTAACCTGGAGACACCAAGTTTTGACTAGATCACTCACTCGGATGGCTATGGCGGTCCGGGCGATATAAGCCATTGTACCCTTCAAAACACCAAGGACTCGCCGGTGAATGGAGAAGTCAACAGAAAAAGCCAAAGAAGACAGGTGGACCGTACACAAATCAAATGGTTGCTGTTTGACCCATCCAAATGATAAAACATTACGAACCTTACATTTACATACATTTGACCAATTGCCCAGGGCACATGTGCCAGGGCTTCGAGATCGCCCCAAAAAGCCGCGGACAACATCTGAGGCAGCATCCCATCATCGGGTGGTTGTGGCCATTTTCCCAATTCAACCACAACTGTCTGGCGGTGTAGAGGTTCAACAAGCCGATGAAGAATAAAAAGAAGCCCGACACGCTGATGCCAATGATGTTGCCATATCTGTGGAAGATCTCCAAATGATCAGAGATGTAGTGTTGCGCCAAGACGATGGCAGAACATGCGAGGAAGACCACTGAGGAGTGGCCCAATGCAAAGAACATGCCTACGGCTGGTGGTTCGTAAAATGAGAAAGCCAAGTGGGATATTTATTCATGAAATTGGTGGTGATTCAAACCAACCTCCCAACTCGGGATGAATTGGGAAATGACAGCTAATTGGGAATGGGATGGAATGGGGATATTCAAATGAATGAAGCCAATATGGTGAATTGCACCAGGAATGAAATAAAAGAGATTTCCATGCCACCACCAAGAGGCCAACGGTTTGCGGACGACTCGTGCGAGTCGTCAGCTTTCGAGTGATGTTGTCGATGGCTGCCTGAGGTCAGACGAAAGTGAAAGTCACTACTAGCAATGGCCTCCAACCTCATAGCATCCTTGCTCCTAGTGGCGATGCCCTTTGTTCCTAGTAGCGTTCTTGCTCCTAGTAGTAAGGCCAGGAGCCCCTAGTAAGTAGCGTCCTTGCTCCTAGAAACAATGGCCTCCAACCTAATAGCAAAAGGCAAAAGGAACCTAATAGTAATGGCCTCCAGTCTAAGAGCGATGGCCTCCAACCTAGGAGATGCACTCCAACGAACACGTCACATCGCACGACGCACTGGGACTGGGTAGACTCGGGTAGACCGTTTCCTGTGCACACAAACAACATCAAACAACTGACCGCTTCCATGTTAGCATCAGTGGAAGGTAACACCAGGGCATGCTGTGGCAAGGCCACGGAAGAAGCAAGCATTCAAAAACACTTGGCTGTTTCAATCGTTCCTGATGTTCATACGTAATATATACAACAAACTTATAGTTGTATAATATATATAAGATATATATATATACAATAGACTTATAACTAATATAATATCTATATATATGTATTTAATTTCATCAAATAATCAATATATAATCAACATCGCAAGTGATCAAACCTTTCACTTTGACCCAGAACTTCCTCCTCCTCCTCCTCCTCCGCTCCATCACACGAGACCAAACGTTCGAGCCACGATGTGGTCTACATCCACAGCATGGCGGAGCCCGAAGGAATACGCCAGGAGTCCAGATGCTAACAACTCGGGCACGAAGAGCAAAGCCCCAAACAGGCTTAGCGTGGTGAGCAAAATCACGACCTCAGTGAGGTCACGACTTAGCCCGTTTCGCCAAACGGGGCACTGAAAGCCCGACGAAAGCAGGAAGTCTATAAAGCAAGGTAGACTACCTAAACTAAGTTGATTGCAAAGGTGGGAACCCTGAAAATTTGAACGTCTCGCAGCTGAAAGTTCTTTGGTTCACGAGACCACGGTTAGGTATGGCTGTTAATATATAATTATGTATATATATATATGTGCATTTGGAACATATTTAAAAAGGAAATAACTTCGAGTAGCTACTCAGACTCATGCATGTCTAAGGTCTTCGAGATCTTTGAATGAGCTTTACACGCCAGTTTCGAGTATACCATGCTGACGACAATCTCTACACAAACACTGTAAACTCTGGCTGTGTGGCTTCAACCTGAACTGCGGATGTGTCATTAGTCATTATCTTGCTCGTCAATACCAACTTCTTAGGGAACGTGCATGGTTTCGTTCAAGCTCACTTGGGAAGGCTGTTCTTTGAATGGATGTCACAAATACACAAGGTGCTGCTAGGAAGGACCGACGCACAAACCAAACCGGCCAGGGTGCTGCGATGATCAAGGAGCTTCGGCTGGAACGAGAACGCTCGGGGTCTCCAGTCCTTGGTGAGAGACAGCGAGGCCCAGTAGGGCGGGCGTCTGTGAGTTGCGACTCCAGGATACTCCAGGTGTTGATGTTCATTTAGCATTGTATTTGAAGAGAGATACTGTAGATGCATCCCACAATCCACTTAGTCATCTCCAGCCACGTAAGGGGACTCAACTGCGCCCAGTGGCATTCCCAGCCCAGCGAGCTCAGTCATGCAGGCAGCAGCGCGTGCTAATGGCACGTGTCGAGAGGTGCGTTGAGACATTCAATTACATTTAATGACAGTTAGACAACTGATGACAAATGTTAGTAGGTTGGAGGCCATCGCTAGTTGGTTGGAGGCCATCGCTATTAGGTTGGAGGCCATCGCTAGCTATAGTGGGCTGGAGGCTATCGCTATGAAGCTGGAGGGGGTTCGAAGTTCAGGTGTTCTGTTCAAACATGTTCCACCTTGAGATTTGCATGAGCCCTTCATTGTCGAGAATACTCTTCACCAGCTTCGTTCCTCAAAGTCGATGACTGTTGAAACCGATGTGTACAGAGTCTGCCCAAGAGCTTTCCCTTGTTCTCATCCAGGTCAGCTGGGCTTCACAGTTTGAGGGGCGCAACAAACAGCCAAGCAGGTCGCATTGTGCTTCACCTGTATGGCCATGTCCATTAGTATTAATACCCTTGTTACTAGTAGCGATGCCCTTGTCACTGAAAGTAAAGCGGTAAAGATCCCCAGGACTGTCGCCAAAGTTTCTTGAATCCTCAGGGTTGGCAGCTTCCAGTCCTGCACTTGGAGCTCGGGGATCGGCTCTGGGGGATCTGCTTCCGCCCGAGGCAGCCCCGGCTCCAGCCGTTCGTTCCGCACTGGAGGGTGTTCGTCCTGGCCCACTCCGCCCTCAGGGTGTGGAGGTTCTTGCCCTTAGACCCAAATTCATTAGGCCACCCCCAAGATCCGCCAAGCGAACTGCTGTGGACCTGTTTGCTTTCTTTCAGCATCTTCCATCAATAGAGGATAAATTATATGCAATGTAATACCAACAAACCCAGAAGCTCAATGACCCCGTCGGGTTGAGTTAAACCAAAAGGCCAGACTGATTTGGTCGGCAGAGGAACTCAAGAAAGGGAACCCACTCATGTCCAAAACCAATTGCCAACGGTGAAAAAGTGTGATCCAAAATTTGCCCAAACCCGAAGGATACCGTTGCCTCTCTCTGATCAGTTCTTATCCGATATATCACTCCGTCACGGCCTCGCTCCACTCGGTCAGTGCACCCTGGTATCCCCCCGGTGGCACCCTGGCTCAAACATCAGAATGAACGAAGGAGTGAGTCCAGAGATGCCGTTTGGTGACTGGCGAACATCCATCCAAACATGATGTAGTTTAGGCTCGGCTTTGGCCTCAAGTCGCTTGATGCCATGTCGGTTCTTGGCGAGCTGTGAAGGGCCCTGAAGAGGGCGCTCCTGGCAGTTGCCCTTTCCCCCAATGCTGCCATTGTCATGTCCGATTCCACTGTGATGGAAGAGGGCAATGTAGAGCTTGGATGTGGAACACCGGACACCTGGTAATCCTTCAACTTTGGACCTTCGACACATGACACATTGCACTTGAGTCACTGGAGGTAATATGAGGCTATGAGGTAGATATAGTTACTTTTCTATGCTTTCCCCGTATCCAGCTAGCACATGTACAAGGAGGCACAACTCTCAAACGGGTCGCGTCTTTCTGGTAGTGTCCCTACAGTCAAGACCCACAATGCCACGAAGCAGTTAAGAAAACAGTCGACTGGGATCCAAAGGCCACAATTATCGAAAACCGGAGCGGACGACAAATCTTTGGTCAGGGCCTTGAATTGCCTTCAAACAAGTACTGATGCGTTTCAATCCGGGATCAGGTGAAACACGTCTAGGGCGACTCCAGTCGTTCATCTATCTTGCAATCCATGGATGCGGCCCCACATTTAGCTGTGGCTGTGACCCCACAAAGTTGACGGCGCCATAGTCAATGAATGGACATACACGGCTGTCATCACTGGGCAGAATGCGAAATTCAAGGCTTCCAAGTGTCACAAAGTCACGGCAGCTGCTGTTCTTGTGTGGCGATGTTTCAATCTGTATTGTGTGGTGTGTGCGTGTGTTTTTCAGAGACATGGGAAAAAGCACGCTCAAATTGATGTGGCCAGGACCGTGTTGAGACTCTCGGGATGGCTTTAAGAGCCCAAAAAAAACAACAACGGTTTGTATTCTGGTTCACCTGGTGTGGCAGGGAAAAGGATGATTCCCAGCAACAACATGCATCTTGCAGAGTGAGGATTTGCGGGAGGCGTCCACGGCGCCCACAAATTTGAGACCCCTCTGTCCCTCTGTCCTCACGCTTCTGTGGCGCACCTTCGAACAAACGGAGTGTCCAGAGTCCACATCTGAAATCCAAGACTTAACGATTTCTGTGATATTCTAGTTGTTCAAGCGCAAGGTGGAGTTTTGCATGTCTGCATCCAAACATGTTTGACGATACATGACAGACATGACACCAGGATTGATGTACAAGCAAATGAAAGATTTTGTCACGTGGTAGCCCCGGCCAAGTGTCACTATGGAGAAGGCTATGCAGATGGCTGCAAAGCTGTGTACCTGCGCGAGTAAGTGTCGTCCTTGCCAGACGAGCTGCGCAGTCAAGAGTCTGGTGGCTTGTCCCAATTCAGACTTCGCTGAACATTGCCAGCTGACTGTCTGTACAAAGAAGCTAATGGAGAAGGCAATCAATCTATACCCGACAAGCCAAAAAAACATATAAAACAAGCCGCGCGCCGCCGCGTGCCCAGCCTCAAACAAAACTTTGGAATGGGTTCAGGCGCCTTCGTCTGGCAAAATCGCTGAATAGGTTCCAAAGACTACCAAAAACAACCCAAAGGCCAGGAATGCCAGCGAGAAGAAGATCTCCTTGCGCAACCACGAGAAGTTTGGTTCTCGGCGTCGCAGCGCAATGATCCACAAGGACGGCACCACGAACGAGACGTAGCCGTCTCCAAAGGATCCAATGAAGTTCAAGACCACCTGCAAACTGTTGACCACCACTGCCATGAGAATCGCCAAGGCCACAGCGCTCATGGCCGCCACGATGTCACACCATCGCTCCACCGAGGTCCGGCAGGTGTTCGCCTTGACCGCCTTGACCGGTTTGGTGTTCGCCTCCACGGAACGGTTCGCCGTGGCCATGGCCTCCCGAGTTTTGCGCACCAGAAAGGCACAGAACTGTCGAACAGCGAAGATATGAAACTGAAAGCTGACCAAGCTGCCAAAGATCACGGCCGCAAAAGCAAGCATGACATGGGTCTGTTGTCTGACTGGCATCAAGTCGAGGATTAAGGTATCCTCCTGACCGATGCCAAAGGCCAAGAGTCCCAGAATAGAGACAGAGCCATACATCAAGAAGGTGAACCAGGTGCTAAGCATTGCTATCCACGTCATTCGTTTGCTGCAAGGCGTCGGGGTCATTTCTCCAGTCAGTTGTGGAACACTGAACTGGTTGGCAAAGGCATACACCATACTGCTGATGCAGTTCATGTATGTGAAGACAGTAGCGTCCCCTGAGCCAAAGCTGAAGGTCTGCTTTTCGATTTGTGGGTTGATGCCATTGGCCATGAGATACCAGGCAGTTACCACCACTAGAAGGAGTAAAGACATCAAACTGACTGCAACTACGTGCCTCAAGAAGCCAATGTGTTCTGCCAAAGCCAGTGGACCGCAAATACAAACCCCCACTGATACCACAAAGATATTCCGTGTCTTCTCATCTGCTTGGAACATCCCCTGAAAAGCCTGGCCACAAGTGATGAGACCGGCAGCCGCCGCACCAAGAGCACTCGATGAGTTCATGAATCCAGTCAAAAGAGACATGACTGGATGAAAGAGATCTTCTGAGATATCTTCAAAGCTCCAACGCTGTGTGGCCACTGAGGCGATGGCAATCATCCGCAAGCTGGCCACCGATAGCAGCCCACCCAACATGAGACACAGAAGCTGGTAGATGGCCCCCACGGCTGCTGTATTGGCTGAAACTGTGAGGAGTCCAACACCCAAGGCCGCTTGGGTCAAGCAAAGGGAGGTTGAGATGATGCCACCACGATGGAAGGGGTTGATGGATCGTACGGCTTTGCGTGTCTCTGCATCTGCACGGGTGTCGCTGTCATGCGGGTGATTGGCCGTCTCATCTGTGTGAGGGCCCATCACAATATCAAACGCATGTGCACCGGCTATCGCCATTGTCAGTCAGCTCACGTGCAAATTGTTGGGCAAAGGCTCGCGTGCGGCTTAAATAGCTCGAGCCATCAAAAAAGAGGATGCATTCTCATAGACGCAGAAGTGTGTTACACATGCAAACACGAGACATGTTAACCAAAAGTCTGGCACAACTGTCATAGCGCGAAAGGCAGAGTGTATCATCCTGTTTCATGATGTTTCATGTATAAAGATTTGCATGACTCTCGCTGACTGTCGCCTCTCTCTCGCCGTCGCTTTGGCGGTCCGGCCCAAGGGACCTGGGGCGGGTTCGAACCTGTCTTCCCCTGAAGCATCCTGACACCCATGAAGCAAATTAAGTCGACTTGAAGTCCATCAAGCAAAATTCAGAATTCAGAACTTTCCCATACCCTTCTTGAGTCGCTCCGTGGAAGCCATGTGGAATCCTGTTGCTTGTTAGGTTAGGAGGTTCCTAAAGAACATCTCTAAGTAGTTAATATGTTTTTGAACTATCCCGGGAAGCGTACAGTAATAAACATGCACAACAACATCTGTACAACTTGTCAGAGCTGCGGATCGTTGCCCCACGACTGCGCAAGGTGGATGGAAGGGAACTGGAAAATGCTGTATGCACTGTCTGCGCTGACCGATTACAAGCTGTTACTCTGTGACAGTTGAATCCTTTACCACTGTGAGGGCTGCTCGAGGAAACGTGGAGGCTTCAGTTTGTTAGTCTGTGGCAGTGGGGAAACTTCCGCCCTGCCCCGCCGGCTCTGTTGGAGGATTGCCTTGTATTTCTACCATGTCATTAGAAAGAAAATAACGTGAAAAAGAAAGCCGAATTGCAGTAATGACAATGTTTTGCGAACAATAATACTTTCGCGAACCTCATCGCGGATCTGTCGCGGATGTTTTGGACGGCATAAAGGTGGTTTTGTATTATACAAAAACTCTTTACGTTCGCCTTTAAACCAACTCCCACATAGTAAAACAGCATCAAGCAAACAGTGTTCCACAACACTCCTACTGAGCTTTGAGCAGTGTGCGATGCCGAATGTTCTGTGCCAAGTCACAGTCTTTTCACGTCCCTTTCCTGCGAAACCAGGAGAATTGCTCGTTGATTAGCTGATACTCTGTGCAGCCAGCGCACCACAAGATCACACATGCTCAATACCAATCATCTACAAGGATTTCCAAGTGTTCTTGCAGCGAAGGTTGCAGGGTTGCAGTACATCCGTTGTAACATGTGTCGTTACTGTGTAAGCTACAACTCACTCAGTTCTTGGGATTGCACCCATGTCTGAGGCTCAAAGGTCCAGGGCGTCTCTGGAGGCACCAAACTCTGCCGATTGACCAAAGTGAGTGGAATCATCAAGAAGTGGCTGCTCTGACACCAATCTCTGAACCTTCTAAGGAGTGGGGATGACCGTCCTAAGTCCTAACCCAGCGGAACTACCATAGTGCCCATGGAAGCTCTTCCAGCTAGTCCTGTCGTGCCATGCTCCAAAAATGTCCGAGACGCAAAAACAAACCCTTCCCAACCGGGCGCCGCCTTTGGCGCTTTGGAAGCCTTTCCAGCCGGAGCCGGCGAAAGGCGACTCGAACTGGATGAAGTCTTCAGCCTGAGCCTCCTTGCGACTGGGTCTCGACGTCAGCAAAGGCGAAACCGACAGGATGCACGTTGTCTCAGTTTCCGTTTCACAAAAGCCCTGAAGGCAATCCGCCAAGTACGGTCGGGGAGCGGAGGATCGTCATCACATACTTCTACTATCAGTAAATTCAGTACATATAATGTACATAATATACTTTTATTGCTTGGGTAACTAGACAGGATGGTTCCCATATTATATTTGGAGAGGAAACGGTGGAGAGAAGGTTTCCAAGACCTAGTTCTTTGCAACATTGGCAAACATGTTATATAAATCCTCTGTCTTGGACGCAGGCCAGGTCACAACTTTGAGTGGCTGGTAAGTTTTGGTGCTTGGGTTTGGCAGCTGGGGTGCGCTGCCACAAATCAAGTGGGGGTACAGTATCCTGTTTCTTCACGAAAAATAACACATTTGTGTCTTACCGAGCATGTTGCTCTCATCTGCGGAGGATGGGAGGTGGACAAGAATAAGACCGCTGGTCCGATCGCAGCAATAGTATCCATATAGTATCATTGCATATCGTTGCTACACCAGCTTATGCACGTGGCATACATCTTTGACCCAATGCCCTGCAATTGCGATGAGATCACTTCAAACATGTCACCTCTGACAGTCACAAGTGCAGAAATCGTAGGAATTTGCGATCAAACGTATGGTACTGTACACCTGGACTGAAGTTGTCTGTGATTTCAGGTGCTTGTATATTTGTGTGACTCTTTCATCATTTTTCATCCATCTGTTGTTTGTGAATCCATCACTAGTCCTCCTCCTTCTTGAGGTTCTCTGTGTTCTCTACCGCCTCTGCCTGTCATCAAATAAGGCTGGTCCTTCGGGAATCTACATAAAAGCGGACCAGGGACCACCTGATATATTGCAACCCCCCTAAAGCTCAAAAAAAATGGGTTGGCCTAGTGGAGCATGTGGCAGCCTTCTGATCCTGAACATGGTGTAAGTGCTGAACATGAGTATTGCACTTGCGGATCTGAAAGAGGTCTGGCTGTATATAAATACACTATATATATATATCAGTGATATCAGCGTACAGGTTGGTTGCAGGCATGTTTTCGTAGAAGCAGGACTGACAGTCAGCTGCAGCAGGTTTGATATAATAAACCGGTAAGCAACAAATTGTTCATTGCAAGGAAACTCACACTGATCTGATATCCGAAATGTTCCTTGTGGAGGCATGTATTGGCAGAAGATATACTCTTCCTAAGGACGGGCACTGGGTATGATCTTGGTCAATATTGAGGCTCCCCCAATATTTTCTCAATTCTTTGACCCTGTGGCTGATCGATCAGTTGTTGTTCGTCCCATCCCAGATCTGAATCCCATCAATGATCCCTTCTCGGCAGCCTGCATCTGGGCACGCAAGCGCGGCGCATCACTGGCCTGGGCGCTTCGTGGAACAGCAGGAACTGCTGCGCGGCGCATCGCGTGCGGAGATGCCGCACCTCCAAGGTGGCACTGCGTTTAGTAGGAGCAAGGACGCTACTAGGGGCTCCTGGCATCGCTACTAGAAACAAGAAGCTACTAGGAACAAAGGCGCATCGCTACTAGAAACAAGAAGCTACTAGGAACAAAGGGCATCGCTACTAGGAGCAAGGACGCTACTAGGGGCTCCTGGCATCGCTACTAGGAGCATTCTTTACAGGAAGAGTTTTCAGGTGAGATCATGGTTGCCATCAGCCATCCTCACAATAACTACACTGGATCATTCCAGAGTTGAGCAATCTTCCAATCTACATATTTAAAAGTATTGGAAAAAATAGATATATATATATATAATATTATATATATATATATATTTATAACTATATTATAGAACCGCCACCAAACAAATGCTCAACAAGAGCTGCATGCACCAATTTTCGCCCTTCAGACCACCCAAAGCTCCCGTGGAAGGTGCCTACATTCTTGGTGACGAAATGTTGCCAGCACGGTCCGTCAGTCCTGCTGAATGCCTTGAATTCACAACAGTCGGTTCAAGTCGGTTCCTAGTAGCTTATTGCTCCTAGTAGTAAGGCCAGGAGCCCCTAGTAGCGTCCTTGTTACTACTAGTAAGGCACTTGTTACTAGAAGCGATGCACTTGTTTCTAATAGCTTCTTGTTACAACAGTAGATTTGAGGAGGGCCCCTTCCAGACAGAATGACCGACTCGTATCGGCTGTGAGTGTTTCCCACAGCGGTTCCCGGCTGAGCGCAAGAATGGTAGCTTCACTGGAGGGAGGGAGGCCTGAAACTGCTCCCAAAGCGGAGGTGAAGAGTCTTTATCAATGAAACGAAACTAATGTGCTCGTTACTACTCGGAAGTGCAAGTGAAACAACACCCAAGTGCTTCTGTAGGCTTGCTCCCAGGCGATGGCCTGCAAGCGCTCCACGAGTTCGGCCAAACGCTTCTCGCGGCGGCAGCTCTTCAGCAAGGTCACAGCCTAAACAAAGGTGGGACAGCACTCGTGGTGGTTCATCATCACCAAACTCTTCCACTTTGTGAGTCCGCTTCTAGCAGTCAAGATGTTGGGTCTAGCGGAGCAAGGAGCAGCACAAACCGTCATGACACCTTCGTTGCCTGGCCGGTCATGACATGCAAACTCCCCAGCATCCATATCGAACTATTCAGATGCTTTTGCTATCTTTTGCCTGCTTCCAAAAGAGGTGTACTGGAGCGTGCCAGCCAGTAATTCTTCTGGAACCCTTGCCTTTCCCTGACTGTCATGAACAAGCGGTTCACACTAAAGGGATGGTAGACATTTCCCTACATGGAAAATAGCTACTAAGTGCTACTAGTAACAAGGGCATCCCTAATAGTAACAAGGGCATTACTACTAGTGGCTAGAAGCTACTAGTAACAAGGGCACTAGGTGTTTCACTACACTGATGCAAAGCCATCTCAATGAAACGACAAGCTATCGACCCATCAAACCCACGTGCTGGGCTTCCCTGCCGCCGTGCGAAGCCCATTCTGCCGTGGCCTGGACGGAAGCGAAGCCCCCTGCCCCTCGATCGAGAACCACGACGAGAATGACCAAAGACCCTCCATCGATGTGGTGGATAATGACAGGAATTCACCCATAAATTTACATAGTTCCCAGTGATCAAATGTGATCGAGACATTCAATATACCATATCTGAGGATCCTTCACTTCAAGAAGTGATCCAAGGCAAGGTTGTTGCAACGCTTTCATGCTGACAAGCAAGCCCAAATCCTGTCCAACAAGGGCCACATTAAAGAACTGAACCACACAATTTGTGGCTGGAGACAAAACAAAGCTTGTATGACCTTGCCATGAACTGACCTCCCATCCATCTCTCCCGACTAAGTAGGAACAACACGAACATGTTTTCCGTATATATATATATATCTTCTGGATCTTCCCTTGCTCCGATAGCTGGAAGAAAAACCTGCCGTTTGCTGTGCATCCCATACCACTGCCTGAAGGGTGCCGCCGCAGTGCCAAGGGTCTCGGGGTTCGTGGCGATGACCGCCTCGGATTCTTCAGGGTTCGTCCCGGAGTCGGTCAAGCACACACCGTCCCAATACGTCAAACAGTGATATCACTGAAATCACTACCCAATTGTCTCATCAGACTAGGGAATCCTTACCAGACATAGGTGAAATTTCTGCACGTCCACTGGATCTATGAGGTCGGAGAGGATCCTTCTGTAGAGCCTTCATGGTTGTTTGCTAGCAAGTGTAAGGGGTCAAAATCCCTCATTCCTTCCAGAGTTCTTGTGATGGCGGGGGCACAAGGTTGTAAGGTGTAGATGGTGTGCAGTGATCAAAGGAGATATTGGACATGGCAAACACAAACACCTGCCAGCAAACTCCAGCAATCCGTTAGGCATCTTAGAAATACATTGGGTTCCAGCAAAATGTCCTACTGCAGCACAACAAAACACGTCAAACATCTGCTTCCTCTGTCTGGTGTGTCATACCTCTGTCTTCCTCGCACCCTTTGGTCCAGCGACCACTGGGACTTTCTTGAAGGCGCACATCACTGGGAGATGCTGAATGAGCACCTGCACGGAGGGGCGAAGAAGAACCTCAGGACGCCCTTGTTGGATGATCTGGGTCTGTGGCCGGTGCTTTAGGGACGATCCATCTGGGGAGTCCCCAATTGAGACCGGCTAGAAGTTGAGTCTGTGTCAGATCCCCACTTGAAGGTGGCGGGAGCGGTGCGGCTTGCCTCCGGTATTCAACAGGAAAGCCCGGAGGCACTGTGACAAGATCTTTACAATCAGAAATCCTCAAGTTTTCCAGGCAACCACAAACAGTTGATCAGATCTGTGGCATCCGTGGCATACGTGTAAAAATTGCTCATCAACACGCTTGGGCAATGCTGCTGTCCGGCCACCCAAGTCACAGTGCTTGATGTTGTAAGCCAAATGTTAAATCTATAATATGTAATCGATTCGATGCCTATCACTGCGAGAAAAGAAAACATCCAATGCGTCCGTTCCTTGCTGTGTTAATCTGGTTTTAGTTCCTTTCCTCTTGCCAACATAGGACCCCCACCGTGGGTACCCCTTCCACGCAGAGGAACACCAGCAAAGCCTGGCATCATCCCATTCACCAGGCGTGTGGTCTTCAAGCAATTGGGTGTGGCTCAAATAAGAGTGGGAACTAAACTCTGGTTTGCCAAGATGAAAGACATCAGTAATACTGACGGATGTATTTCTGTTCTCAACTAGACCCATAGTCACCCGTCACATCATCCCGAATTGGCTGCGTTTGGCAGTCAGAATTCCACGTATATATATATAATGTTGTTGATGAAATTGGTCACGTAGACTGAAAGGCCTGCAAACATCTGCAAGGTATTGCCATCCTCGAGTTGATCGATTCATGCCAATTGGAGGCAAAGACCTGCAGCTAAAACTAAAACTGCAGAAATTTCTGCTACTACTCGCCCTTTACTTCCTCTACAAAGTTGCATTGTGTTCTCCATGCAAGATCCAATGGCCCTTGAAAAGAGTGAGGAATATGATCTGTGATCTTTCAATATTGCACACTGTACAAAACACCAGGACCTATGGCAACGCACGCAACACACCCATCTTTGGGGACCTGGTCCTTCTTCAGAGCTTTCGCCGCACCCTTCACTCCTATGGCAGCCAGGCCTGCCATACTCTGCACGGTGCGATCGGCAAAAGCAGCCATGGATGAGTTGTAAAATCAGCCAAGGATATCTTCGCACTGATCTAGCCAGTCTGAGCTTGTGTCGGAAGCGAATACCATCTGTCTATAATATACACTCTAAGAATGAACGTCACGGTCTTAGACCGTTTAGTTTGCTTAGCTTTTGGTGTTGGCTCTGATGAAGACTTCCACCTATCAACAGTACAGCAACAACACTCCAGCAACTAGACAACAAGTTTGCTTCCAGGGGTTGCTTGAGGATGTCTGGTGCAACTAAGCCTCACACTTCATGAGAACAAAGCAATACATATCCCTCCTCGACTCCTCTCCGAAAGTCATGCAAAGCCCGAGACATTGGCTGCCCCCGCGGGCCCCTGCCTGCTGCGTGCTCTGGAGGCAGGTCTTTGACCGCCAGGCGCAGCCTCCACGGAAAGCCATCGGTGTGGGAGACATCAACTGCAGCATGGGTTTCTGGACCCCAGTGCCCATGCGGAAGTAGTTTACAACTATCTCAGAGCCTAGTGTAAGGCCCCTGGCTTATCACCCGCACAGTTTCTACAAGTTGGACCCATTCCAAACCCGGATGAGTTGGATCCACTCGACCTCCAAAGTGCATCAGCTTCCAGGCCAGCGCCACCACGCTGCACCTGGCCGCTTTGCACCACCCAACCCCACAGATGGAAGTACTTGAGCACATTGGTCTGCAGTTCCACTGTAAACCTTAGCAAGGGATGTACTCAACCCCTGGCACGACGAACAATGCCAGTCCAGAAAAAATGGCAAGACGCACTAGTTTGCAGTTCTTGGTGTAACCCGCTTCCCGGCGTCGAGGCAACCACGCCCAAACAAAGAATCTACAGTACATTGGACAACAATGTTCTGTCCATTGTAAGCTTCTCCCCGTTTGGTCCACACGGCATGTCTGTTCTCATTCAGTCGAACGTTTGGGGAACCTCCAGGGTGGACTGAGGTTAGGAGATAGGAGAACAGTAACTCCCACATGTCATATAGGGATTCGCTATGAAGTAGAACGTGAAGTGAGGACAACCAGCGCTCCCTTGAAGTGCCAGAAAAAAAGTACAACAACTGCCCAAACATACAACTTCCAACCCTGTCACAGAAGGTCGAAGGTCTCCCCCTCCAACCCGAGACCTCCAAAGGATCCCCCTCCGTGCACCGGCGTTTCACCGCGTTTCACACGCACGTTCTACCTTTTTGCATCACACGGACTTTCCGGTCCTCACAGCGGGTCGCACCGTGACAACCTGCTGTGCTTCCGCGTCGGCCTTGGCCTTGGCCTTGGCCGCCTCGCTCTGGCGACTGAGCTTGGGACGCTTCAGGTCGTCCAGAGTCATCTTCAGCGTGGATTTCCTTGGAAACGTGGTGTCACGAGGGACAGTTGTGGGAAGAAGCTGAGATGAGTCTTTTGTTATCTTGTAGTTGTAAAGTTTTCCAGAAAATGTCTGTCATTCGTGTCTTTTTATCATGTCTCTGTGTTCAGAACCACTGGAGAAGGGGCCACATCAGCTTTCACAAGTTGTAAGGTCTTCCTGTTTCTCATACCGTCTCTTCTCCCTCTACAGTAACTCTCAATCTTGCACATCGGAGCGGGACAATGACAACACGATGTCCAAAAGTGTCGTGTTCCCCAAACCACATTTGAGGATCTGTATAGTACAAGGATGGCCCAGTTTGTATTCTATACATATATATATAAAACATGATTTGCAATATACTGTAACAAAATATAACATAGACAATAATAATACAAATATCATGTATAGTAGCTTGTTCTAAGTCGCATTGACATAACGTAAACTCCCATTGTTTTTGTTTTTTGGTGGTTGGTGTGTCTCATAAACCTCTCCAAAAATGCCAAAGATTCTGCTCAGCTGGCATCACACCCAAGGCTTCGAAGAACTGCTTTTTCAGCTCACTATCGTCCTGGACCCTCTCGTCGTCTCGATAGACGCTGCCTTCAACCAGGACGGTGTTGGCGGCCAACCAAAATTGGCGAACTTCTGCTCTAACAGCACAAAGATTGGTAGCCCCGTGGACAGGATAACATACTACATTGCACATCATTGCACGATATTGCTAGAAAAAATAGCCAAAGGGCTAAGGGCCTTGGGATGCCTTGGGGGCCCGTTTGACTTTGCACCAACCAAACAGGCAGAAACATCCTTTGCCTACACCCTGTTGTTCGGCCGCTAGGTCACACGTAACTCATTTTAGTTTAGAAACTGGGATTTGTTTTCCGGAAACTCACAAATGTGGCAAACCGTATCTACAGTGTCAGACAAAATACACTTCGTTTGCAAAGGCACTTAAGGCACTACCGAGACAATATTATATATATCTTTCAAATACTGGCAGTGGAGAAGCATGCACTCTAAGTGAAACCGTACAGTACACTAGTTGCACTCGTGTAAACAGATTCCAAACAAGGCAGTCCGAATAGGAACATTATCATATTGTGTACTGTATCTGACAATATAACATAATATAACATGACATTATACGTATAGAACAGTTCAATACAGTAATACACAGTATATGATACAATATAATACTATACAGTATATAAGATATTCATATTTAGCCTGCTCGTCCCAAGACATCATCCATGACCCCTTCTCTGGTACCTTGGCGCGCCACGCCATTCTTTTGAGCGCGGCGGCGCTTGGGATCTGTGAGGACCTGATAGGCTTCGCAGACTTCGAGCCAAATCTCCTGAATCACATGTGAGAGTGTGAGAAACAAACGGCCCAAAGGGGTCTCTTGCCATGGTTAAAAGTTAAAGGATTTGAAAAGGGATACTGAAAGAAAGAAACGGCCGATACATGGACTGCTACCCTGGCAACTCCTGGGTCTGGGGAAACTAAGAATGAATACACAATACATTATGTTCAGTGTTGACCGGAGGTATAGCGGCTATAGCGAAGAGAAGAGTCTTCCTGCAAAGGAGATCTTGGATGCTAGTGTTGTTCACCACAACTTGCGAGGGCACCTTGCTGTTCCGAAAAACTGGTCATCTTCAAAGAAAAAGCACATACTGTAATCCTGTGAATCTTCGGGCCTCCCAGCCTCGACCCTCGCCCAAACTGTCGGTCTCTTGACCCTCCTCTGCATTGGGCGCGTCCGAGATGTCCGGATGGTCGGTGCGGGCACGCTGGCGGTAGGCGGCGCGGATCTCGCTCTCTGTGCAGCCCGGTTCCACGCCCAGGACATCGTAGGGATCTTTAGGAGACATCGTGGCCGTCACAGCCCTGGGATTTGCAGGAAAGCCGCACAACGGTGTCGTGTCTTTTCTACAGCTTGACCGCTTGGCCACGCGTCAATCAAAAACATTCCAAAGCTCTAGGCCCAATGAAGTTCCATGATGTTTCATTGGTCAAGATATATGTTGAGACCCCCATGCCCCACACCAAGCCACACCAACCCTAATTAGACCCGACTTCGCCCAGCGGCATTCTTGCAAGCCGGCTCCTTACAGGGTATCGCCGACCCGAACTACTCGCTCTGAGTCCAGCAAAGGTGTTGTGGAAAACCGCTGGCCACAGGAGGAAAATGAGAGCAGTTCGGCCAACCCGCATCACCACTGCTCTTCTTTGTACAGGACCGAAATGGTGATCTTGAGCCAAATGTGGCAACAACCAAGAACCAGCTCAGCAGTGACATTCTGGGACAGCAATTCTCCATGCAGGCTTTCCTGGGCACGATCATGAGAATGACCGGTGTATCATTCTAGCTGCGTGACGTGCAGGAATGCTAAGGAAGACTGAAATCCTGATACATTGGAGGCCATCGCCGCTATTAGTGGAGGCCACCGCTTTTGGGAGATACATCGCGAGCCAAAGTTTTAAACAAACGTTGTTTCAACCCAAACAAACACCGTGCAAAGAAGATTGTTTGTTTTGCGAACAAAAACGAGGGTTTCAAACCTCGCCTCCCCGGCCCCCGGGGGGGCGGGGGGGGGGG